GCCCTTAATCTGCCGAACCGGTTCACGACGAGCTATGATATCAAGGTAGGCCTTATAATGACATGGCGTTGTCATAAAGGGCTCGAGGTACCAATAATGCAGTACCTGGCGTCAGGCGATGTCCGCGGGCTGATAGCCTCTGGGTCTATGGCTCATGTCGACAGACTATGGCACACCGTTTGACGTACACGTTCCTCCACGTCATATATTGTAAACACATAGCCTCAATGGCTTTTGAGTTCTCTGTCGGCCTGAAAACACCAGAGGGTACTCCCCTCTCGCTAAATGATCTACTCTTGATGCTCATCGAGCGGGTTAATAATGATGGTTTCCGCAGAATTTGTTGAATTGTGTTGCGCAACTGGCGCGGTGGCTTCTCCGAATTTGGCTAACGGATTGGGTGCCGTATGAGGGTGTACGTCAGACAAAGATGGGTTAGATACTGTTTCTTCTTCATATTGGACACTGGTATCGCTACCATAGTCCACCTCCGCACCGAGATCGAGATAGGAGGCAAGGGTCTGAGACTCGTAGGGTGGATATGCTATTGTGTTTAGTGCCTTAAGCAAATTGTTAGGTAAAGCGCGCGCACACCGTCATGTTCGAAGGGATAATTCGATTAACGTTTTGAAGTAATGTCAGTCTGACGGGAAAGGGTGTAACAAGGTTACACGTCAGTTGGTGACCGACACAACATGTGTGGATTGCACCAGAGATGAGATCCCATCGAACATGATAATAGAATACCGTATTAATTGTTGGAGAATGACGTGTGTCAGCCACCCAATACGAGATCTTTTAAAAGATACTTTTTAGCGTTAGTTTAGATAGCAAGTACGGTTCGTCGGAGGTGTTATTTGCGATACAAACAAAATCAATTTCATTTCACCTTTGATCTAATAGAGAAATGTATCTTCTAATGGAATCTTTAATCATGAGGCAGTCAAGTCTTGTTTAAATACAGACTCGCTAGCACACTGTGCTGTGGTGGAGTGGTGATCGCTCGTTTTGCGAGACGATCTCAACTCTTCACTGGCGCCCCGATAACGGAGGAGGTACTCTGATTCCGTGCTCTGCGTTGTCTTGCTCGCCTTTTGTACCCGTCGGTGGGGCGGGTTGCGCTCTACTTGGTGGACTTGAGTTGTAGCTGAACTTGACCGTTTTATGGATAGGGGTTGATCGGGTGGACATTCTTCACCCGGTCAAACGCAGGGGCGAATAGAGTGGTAATTCTTTACTCGATCGCGTATATACTTGGGAGCTCTCCCAGAGTCGCCGTTGTCCAAGGGTGATGCTTGATGCGCGAGCCTTCTGACCACTTGAACCGTCTCGGAATCTTGAATCTGAACCTTCACGTTCCCCGAGTCCAATCTCAGTTTGGGGGGTGAAAATTAACGTTACGCCTGGCCACAAAATCCAAGGGAGAAGTTTGCAGAGACGCGGGTCACTCTCTATTTGACGGGAGGCCAAATTTCCTGCCCGGGAGAAGTCGACGCGTGTCTTTCGTTGCAAATTCAATTCTGTTTCATGTCAGCCAACCAAATCCAAAACCTATGACTATGCCTATCTGTTCGCTCGATCACTGTTGCATATCGCATTTCCATGTAATTCACTTCTTGCATCATGTGGTCCACAGCAGATAATCTGGTGGCGGATCGCTCCGTAGTAGATCACTCGGTAGTGGATCGATCGGGAAATGGATCGATCGGGTAGTGGATCGCGGTATGTGGTCCGCAATAATCATGCGTTCACACAATTAAGCGGTATACACCCAGGATAGATCGTGATCAATCTCTCCAGTCTCCGATCGGGCATTTACCATCGAATCGCTGTCACTCCTGAGCCCTCGCATGTTTCATGCCTTCGACGATCCATTCCTCTAGCATGCTTTCATACTCACCCATTATCCATTGTCGTTACTGATCATGTAATCAGATGCTGTTCACCTCTCGAGTGATCTGGTCCCTGTAGCTTGGTGATCCAAGCCATTGATCGTGGATCGTGATCGGTCAATTCTCGATCCTTGACTATATATTATTTTACCGTTAGGTAGACCAATCCACATAACTTTGACAATCGTTTTTGTCACTCAGTCGGTTGATCACATTCCTCGTGCCAACGGGCCCATCTCCGAGCGCGCTCCGCCAATCCAATTGATATCGCACTTAATTCGGTTCGCACGATCCACCTTTCCATCATTCTTTCTCTTTGCTTCTCCACAACATCGCAGCCATCGAAGCCGGAACTACTTCGACACACCAATGTGCTGTCAACTCCACGCACTATAATCGTTGAGAGGTCGAGCGTTAGAAACATGGTGTACACGGTGCGCTGGATTCACGAATCACGATGGCACCGGGTTGTAGACATAATTACGTTGACTGATCAACTACAAGTCTGGTGTATCCTTGTGCATATTTTCTATGATTACAAGACCAGGGAAGCAAGACCACGAATTACGATACCAAAGATTTCATCAGATTGTGACTCAGTGTAATGTCAGGCAGTAATAATGAGTCACCAGAGTACACAGCCTTTTTTATTCACGATCGAATTTACATTATTGCCAGAATCCTGCTCGTCTCAGCTATTTTGTAACGCTGGGAAGCGTAGAAGAAACTAGGCCGTACATGTAGTAGGCATTTTATCGCACCATCAGTATGGAGCATGGTGAATGGTCACGGTTATCGGTTGTGACCAGCGGTCACGGTCATCGGGGGCACCCCGCGTTCTCGTTCAGCAGAGGTTCGCCGCGTAAATGGAGCAAACGGGTGGCAGGAGGCGAACTTCGTCACAGAAACTGAGATAACGAGAGACGTAAGCATATTTATAGTTACTAATAATTAAGAACAAACACTATCGACTCTCCTTATAATATACACGCGTCAGCATCCGTCCGGGCTGGAATACCAGTGGCCACCCGACGCACAAGGTTTGTTGTGTACGTGTTTATTACAGGTTTGTCCCTAGATTTCTTCGATAAGGATAACGATACCCATTCAAGTTAGCCCACGATCGAACGTGGCAAGCATTTCATGGCATTTAAGCAAGGCGACCTCAAGGGGGTTCAGGAAAACTCTAGTATAGTGATCCAAGTAACCGTTGGTCGTGTAAACTATTTTTACGCGACCACATCAAGCTCACTTCTATAAAACTCGGTCAAGACGGACAACGACCTCAAGTCACCCAGAAGAGTGCGACCCGCCCGTTCACGGGTACACGAGGTGAAAAGGAACACGACAAGACACACAGTCCGGAGTACCCCCTCCGTCAGTCGGTTGTCCGGGCAACTGTGAAGGTCTGACTGTGCATCGGTCTTTTTGCGATAAATAATCCCCTGTGCCTGCCTCTCAAGCGCATATTGGTTGTGATATAACAATGTTCGGTACAAAACACTTTACTCCCGTCACCGCCATCATCTGCTTCTATAGTTGCTTAGATACAGCGGTTTTTAAACATAGTCAGTTAAGTGCACGAGTACACTGCCAAGATGAAATAAATGCACCAAATGGTATCGTCCGAGCATATGAGCTCCCAAAATGCGCGCTTTCTTCAGTGCATGAAGTTGGGATAAGTGCTAGTGCACAGGGTTGACTACGTAATGATGCCCTTGCAATTCGACATTTCGTCTATTTTGTGGATTGTGAGTAGTCATGATTACTTGCAAACAAACACAGATACATTTAATCTCACTAGCAAGCAAAAAACAAAAGACAATGCATGGACACAAAAATTCTCAATGAGTATAGCATTTTTAGTATGTCAGCGTCGTCACCACTGATAGCTGCAGCCGAAAACAAGCGGGCGTGCGACATCCAACTTTCACTGTATTCATTTACGCAATTATTATGGACACAACAGCTTGGTTCTGAAGGTTTGAAGATTATAGTATCGACTCTGTACACCATGTGCACACTCATACTTGATTGGTTTGGAGTAGCAATCACTACCGCTGTCGTGTTTTTCAACCCGACATGCGACATAGCAGTCAAGGTTAACCGGCTGTTTTTAGAATACCTTTTAAGTCGTGTTTGCGGTCGGCTGGGGTAAGCTTGAGTTTGCGGGAAGGACAGGTACGGAGGCAGTACCAAAACGCCAAAATTATAAAACAGTCAGTGAGCATGGATATAATGTACGATCAATAATTGATGAGCCCACAATGGCAAAAATAAAAGAAAGCCGGATGAATAAACCTACTCGATATACCCAAAAAATGGGCTTCTTAAATTTCCCACATTATATGAGAAAAAATTAATGTGTACGTGCTTGTACTTTATGCCAGCATTTTGTAGAATAATGGAGAAACACAGCGTGATAAAATGGCTTGATGAACTTAGTATCATTACGTACAATTAAGCTTTCACGTCTTGCAAATTAATTTCATACATGTCGGATCATTACGCCCTTATCAACCCGCAATTGGGACAAACGCACTTTGTGTCAGCACATGTACATGCAACTAAATCGACACTGACGACGCATACACGTCAGTTAGAATGAGCACTTGGGACGTCCACGTCTACGACAGACCCGCCCCTTGCATTTGTGAAGCCGACAGGCGACTTGATCTATGACCAAGGTTACCCTTACGTGCGTCCACTTTTTGACGAGGTATGACCACTCTGTTGTCGAGTGTGGACGTAAAGTGCTGACGATGATGAGCTGTGTGGTGATGTAGGATCGAGGCCAATGCGGATCTGCTGCTTTCGACCAACTTTGAGCAGGTCGGACACGGTTGTAGTATTACTTTGGCGGGCGCAAAACGGTGTGATGATGCAGATGTGGTTGCCGTTCTTTGCTGCAGATGTAAACACACCCCGTGTTGCAAGTGCCGTGGTATGTCACGTACGTTGATGGCATTTACTTGTCCCGCGTTGCTTCTTTTTGCTTGCCTTGTGCGATACGAACACTCGAGTTTAAAGTGTTGATCAAATGTGTGCGTCACGTTGGCAACGCCGTGTCGAATTGGGAACCATGACTGCGAAGGATCGATCGACGCAATGCTTCACTATGCAGAAAAGAATGACTCGTTCTGGTACATGCCACGTCGCTATTACTCCGTTGACCGTCGCGTGGCACCCAAGACAATCCTGAGACTCGTTGTCATCGATGCTTGTGACTTGGTCTGCGGCCGCAGGCCTCGCGACATTCGATGCACCGAACGAATGATCGAGCAGACTTTTGTAGCGACGAGACAGTTGCAGTACGAGTGGCTTGAGCAAACGCTGAGCGCTGGTAAGCAAGTCGGCGTGGACCAAATGTGGACGATCGTTATGGGCCATTGGGGCGTGTACACCTTCGCAGGTAACGCCGACACGCCCGAGTTGATCAAGATGCTTGATCCGATGCTGAAGAAGTACAGCGTACACGCGTACTTCAACGGCCACGACCACTCCATGCAGCACATCCGCAAGGTGGACAGTACCAGCTCGTCTGTCCGCAACTACTTTGTCTCTGGTGCTGGTGGCTACGAAACCCACGACCTCCAGCCCGACGCTCGTGCAAACCCCGACGTGGTGCACGCAGCCATGACATATGGATCCGTGGCCGTCCACGTAACCAGCACGACTTTGCGTGTTCAATTCGTCGGCAATACGAGCGACATCCTCTACACCACCGACATACGAAACAAGTAGCGTCTTCGACTGTGCTGTCTCCTGCACAATGTCAAACGCAAATGATGCATTTTTTGTGTTTATGTAACCAGATGATTACGGGCATACGGTCGCTCGTGAGCTCTGCATACCTCACTTGCTCGTTCACCTCAACGTCCTCGTGCCTCATCTATTCTACTTACTTCACGTGCCGTAGCAGCTACAAAAAGAAAAGGCACAAAAGAGAGCTTCACCAGCATCTACGCAGCGTCCTTCTTCAATGAGGCCCAGCTCAGCTGCTCGGTCTTGACGAGGTGCAGCACGAGCTGGTCCTCCGATCGCTTCGTCTTGACGTCCGAGATCTCGGCGTACAGCTTGGCCACCACAAACAAGCGCGTCTTGCCGTCCAAGTTCTTGATCTTGACCGTCAAACTCGTCGCAGTCCAGTCAATGTGCGTATCTTCTTCCGAGTGAGAGCCAATACCCGGCAGTTTCAGGTACACGGACACACGTTTCTTGCCGTCTGCCCACGCAAAGCTGGAAACCGCTTCTGTTACTTCAGCTGGCTCGAGAACCGTCAAAGACTGCGTCTTGAGGAGACGCGGCGCTGCTTTGCCATCCCACTCGTGGATCTCCACGTTCTCGCGCTGCTTGTGTGCGTAGTAGTAGCTGTTCTTGCCCTTCGTCTTGATGTTCGACTGCAGCGCCGAAATGTCGGCCGGACGTGACATCACAGGGTCGTTCTCCATTGTTGGTGACAAATGCGCGAGTAAGTGTTAAGTAAGTGCTTGCACCTGCTGCGACGTGTTTCGTCGGGTCATGGCAACCAGCGTTCTAGAATGCGGCTGCGTGCTTTTTGAGGTATACCACACCGATAAGGCAGAAGTTACAGTTCATGTGTCACACACAAGCGTTCGGTCAAGTGAATTCAAACGTTTAAATCGTTCTTCCCTGTCAAGGAGACGCCCTGCGTCCAATGACTAAAAGTCGGGGTCGAACCGCTTCGACGCCTCAACTTTCCACAAAGTTACCTCGGTTTACAGACTATCCCACCGTCGCTCGGATCCCTCACCTTCTGCCGCCAGTCCGTCCACCTCGTCCCTCCTTTTCCGCTTGTCCTCCGCGACGCTGCTATGGCGAGCCCCCGCGCAGAAGTACGACGCCTCGAGCGCGTATCGTCGTCCCAGCTACCCGTACGATCGCCGCCGACCCGCAGTGACTCTCGCAAACGCTCGCACGACGCGTGCGAGTCGGACTCCCGCAAGCCTTCGGGCAGCCAAACAAATGGCTTTTCGAGCGCCAAAAAGAGCAGAACAGACGCGCCAAGTGGCTCGACTTGTAGTACCAGCAGCAAAAAGAGTGTCCGTTGTTCTGCCTCGTGATTCTTGCCGTCGAAAACTCTGTGTCGAAGCGACCTGACTGTTATTGTTTGCTTTCTTTGCTGCTTGTTATGTGTTGTTGTGGTTGTTTGTACCAGGCGTCGGACCGCTTTATTCCCACACGCAGCGCCATGAATCTGGATCTCGCACAGTGCAATTCGCCAGAGACAGCAGCCGCCATTGAAGCAGTCACCAAGAGCCGGAATAAGAGCAGTCCCAGTCGCTCAGGGGCGCGCACAGCTTCGAGCACAGCCGCGGAGGACGAGGAAAAGCAGATATACAAGAGGCGACTGGCCAGCGCGTTGCTGGGCAAAGAGGACGACTCGAACCACAAGATCCTCAAGTTCACAAAGGACAAACCGGCGGTAGCTCCGCCCGACTCGTTCAAGTCGACGCTTCATGCAAGATTTTCTCACAACAAAGTAGCTGTTGTACCTGCTTCTGCTGCCAAGAAGCTGAACCGCCATGTTCCGTCGGCACCGATCAAGGTGCTGGATGCGCCCGAGTTGATGAACGACTACTACCTCAACTTGCTGTCGTGGGGGGCCAACAATGTTTTGGCCGTGGCTCTGGGCCAGTGTGTCTATCTCTGGAATGCTGATACTAGTGAGATCAATGAACTCATGGCTTTGGAAGGAGACGAGTACGTGAGCTCAGTGCAGTGGAGCGATGCTACGGGCGGCTCGTCTCATTTGGCTATCGGAACAAGTGAGTCCGTCGTGCAACTGTGGGATGTCACTGCCTCGCGTCAAGTGCGAACAATGAACGGACACTCGTCGCGCGTAGGCGCACTGGCGTGGAATAGTTACGTGCTGTCATCAGGATCGCGGGACAGCAGCATCATTCACCACGACGTCCGAGCGCGGCAACATCAGCTGTCAACGCTGACGAGTCACGAGCAGGAAGTGTGTGGGCTACAGTGGTCTCCGGACGGTACCATGCTGGCTTCTGGTGGTAACGACAATGCACTATGCTTGTGGAAAGCTAGTAGCATTGGCAGCAGTCGCAGTGTGCAAGCCCCCGCGCACCGGCTAGAGCAGCACACGGCTGCAGTGAAAGCAATTGCGTGGTGCCCGTGGGAGCGCAATTTACTTGCCACGGGCGGCGGCACGGCAGATCGTACGATCAAGTTTTGGAACACGACAAACGGCGCAATGTTGAACAGCGTCGACACGGGCTCTCAGGTGTGCTCTTTGCTGTGGTCGGCTACAGAGAAGGAGCTCCTGTCGTCGCACGGATACTCACAGAACGAACTGTGTTTGTGGAAATACCCAAGCATGGCCAAGGTGAAGGAGCTCACAGGTCACACATCACGCGTGCTGCACTTGGCACCGTCACCTGATGGCGAGACCGTTGTATCCGGCGCTGCCGATGAAACATTACGATTTTGGAAGGTATTCGGTCCCAACCGCAAAGCACGGAAAGCCGGCTCGAGCACTGTTGAGCTGAGCAGTTCGTCGCTATCGAGTGTCATGAGCATCCGTTGAGGCAGTGTATACTATTCCCCGATGACGTTGTCACGAAGCTGTGCGCTTGTTTCTAATTTACAGACGATGGTAGCCAAGCTTGAATTCACGAGCAGAAGGGTAATGATAAATATGTTTGAACGTTGTTGGTGTACGCGTTCACGTCGACCTGCATCCGCTGGAGCTCATTACGTGCCTCAGCCTTCTGGTGTGCATCAGGGCCTCAAGTCGTGTGCTGAAGCACAAGACTAGAGAGCATGGTAGACGAGCTGGCAAAGAAACGTCAACGATTTTACTCGCCAGCAAACGTCTGCGAGCGACACGCACGCTCGATTCCTCGGGATCGTTTAGCTTCGAATGGTCCTCGGAGTCAGGTCGTTGAGGAGGCACGTTTGCGCGTTTTATATCGCCGGCACTACAAGCTGAATGTGCGCAGGCTTTAGCTGGCGTAGTGGGTGTGGCCCAGTTCGTGGTCTCACTTGCTGGCCAAGCGATATGTGTGACGCGTTAGATAGCAGTCGACGTGTCTTCCTAACAACGTTTTCTGTGGATTCTGCCCATGGCAATCAAACGAGGTTGATGTGGACAGAAGCTGTCGATGAATGCGTGAGTATGCAGTGAAAGAGAAGAGAACATGTCTCACACGAAAAGCGATCTGATAGAGTAGACTTTGTCGACTACATGAGCACATGACGGAGGCGCCGAAGCCGCGGTCTCGTGTCGAATGGCAAGACAGGTACGTCGAGCACGACAATACCAAGGAAAGGCCGTCTGACGATCGAGTGAAGAAAGTAGTATGGTGTCGTTCGTGTTCCACCGCCGGTTGGTCATGATGCAACGTCATCGGAACGCTGCTGATCCGCAGGAAAAAGCTTCTGCACGCGACTTATTTCTACCATGGGCCGCTCCTACAATCTTCAGCAATTCCGTGATAACTTTCGGCTGCCACCCTTGAGACTTTCGCCAGCTGGTCGAACACATAGAAATGACTCGAGATCCGCCGGCAGGTGGCGAATGCAACCCAGCATCCAAAACAGTTGTCCAACTCCAGCGGCTCCGTTCGGACGTCGACTTCTTCGAGCTGGCGGCAATGTAGCAGCTGCTTTTGTGTGCAAACAGGAACGCACTCAGTAGCGCACTCAGTAGCGATCTCGAAAAACAGGTAACATTGGATATGTGGTGGTGTCAAGTACGTCCATTATTATGATAACTAACGACTGATAAGTGTGACAAGAAGTACGGCCCGGGTATCGGGTCGACAACTAAAGGGCTCCGTAGAGCCAGGGGCGACGGCAACGAGGTCAGAGACCCTCCTACCGAAGCCAACTACGAGTCAATCATGACCGCTGGCGCGACCAAGTAGACTGGGGACATGCGTACCGCCGGAGCGGCAGCACGTACAACGCGGGTATGCTGCCATATAAGGCAACAAACCCCTTTAGGACCGCTTGCGCGGCCCCCGACGTGGAGTGCGAACACCGAAGTGACTGCGTGGCGTGGAGAACGCCAACCCGCCATATATCTCTCCGAGGAGCTCAACCATCTGCGATGGTGGCTCCCTTCAGCCGCTTGCGCGGCCCCCGACGTGGAGTGCGATCACCGAAGTGACTGCGTGGCGTGGAGAACGCCAACCCGCCGTATATATCTCCGAGGAGCTCAACCATCTGCGATGGTGGCTCCCTTCAGCCGCTTGCGCGGCCCCCGACGTGGAGTGCGATCACCGAAGTGACTGCGTGGCGTGGAGAACGCCAACCCGCCATATATCTCTCCGAGGAGCTCAACCATCTGCGATGGTGGCCCCTTCAGCCGCTTGCGCGGCCCCCGACGTGGAGTGCGATCACCGAAGTGACTGCGTGGCGTGGAGAACGCCAACCCGCCATATATCTCTCCGAGGAGCTCAACCATCTGCGATGGTGGCCCCCTTCAGCCGCTTGCGCGGCCCCCGACGTGGAGTGCGATCACCGAAGTGACTGCGTGGCGTGGAGAACGCCAACCCGCCGTATATCTCTCCGAGGAGCTCAACCATCTGCGATGGTGGCTCCCTTCAGCCGCTTGCGCGGCCCCCGACGTGGAGTGCGATCACCGAAGTGACTGCGTGGCGTGGAGAACGCCAACCCGCCGTATATCTCTCCGAGGAGCTCAACCATCTGCGATGGTGGCTCCCTTCAGCCGCTTGCGCGGCCCCCGACGTGGAGTGCGATCACCGAAGTGACTGCGTGGCGTGGAGAACGCCAACCCGCCGTATATCTCTCCGAGGAGCTCAACCATCTGCGATGGTGGCTCCCTCAGCCGCTTGCGCGGCCCCCGACGTGGAGTGCGATCACCGAAGTGACTGCGTGGCGTGGAGAACGCCAACCCGCCGTATATCTCTCCGAGGAGCTCAACCATCTGCGATGGTGGCCCCTTCAGCCGCTTGCGCGGCCCCCGACGTGGAGTGCGATCACCGAAGTGACTGCGTGGCGTGGAGAACGCCAACCCGCCGTATATCTCTCCGAGGAGCTCAACCATCTGCGATGGTGGCCCCTTCAGCCGCTTGCGCGGCCCCCGACGTGGAGTGCGATCACCGAAGTGACTGCGTGGCGTGGAGAACGCCAACCCGCCGTATATCTCTCCGAGGAGCTCAACCATCTGCGATGGTGGCTCCCTTCAGCCGCTTGCGCGGCCCCCGACGTGGAGTGCGATCACCGAAGTGACTGCGTGGCGTGGAGAACGCCAACCCGCCGTATATCTCTCCGAGGAGCTCAACCATCTGCGATGGTGGCTCCCTCCAGCCGCTTGCGCGGCCCCCGACGTGGAGTGCGATCACCGAAGTGACTGCGTGGCGTGGAGAACGCCAACCCGCCGTATATCTCTCCGAGGAGCTCAACCATCTGCGATGGTGGCTCCCTCCAGCCGCTTGCGCGGCCCCCGACGTGGAGTGCGATCACCGAAGTGACTGCGTGGCGTGGAGAACGCCAACCCGCCATATATCTCTCCGAGGAGCTCAACCATCTGCGATGGTGGCTCCCTTCAGCCGCTTGCGCGGCCCCCGACGTGGAGTGCGATCACCGAAGTGACTGCGTGGCGTGGAGAACGCCAACCCGCCGTATATCTCTCCGAGGAGCTCAACCATCTGCGATGGTGGCCCCTGAGCCGCTCGCGCGGCCCCTTGACGTGGAGTGTGCGCTCGCCGCAGCGGCGACACGTGGCGCGGGGTACGCCTCCAGTCCGTAAAACACCCCTGCTAGGGCCGCTTGCGCGACCCGTCGGTCTCCTACGCCCACTCCCGCGACTGCGAGTGCAGCGTGCCCGCGTCAGATCTTCGACCACGTCGGCTCCCCAAGGGGAGGATTCCCTCCGACGTGACTGCCCCGAAGGGAAAAAGACTGGCTTGAGCTGAACCGTGAAAATTTGGGAATAACATTGGATATGTGATACGGTGACGTGACTGACGATCATCGTCCTGCTCTCACAGTGGCACGTCGTTGGGCTTTCTTTCTCGGCCTTACGCACGCGTGTGCGTGCAACAACAGTACAAAGTGCACAATGACAGTTTGTATTGAAATCGGCCAGCGATAGAAGACTTCGAGCCACAAATGCCCCTGCAGTATGCTAAAAAGAATGCATGCATATATCGGCTGACGTCGCTGTGTGTACTGAGTCTCGTTCAGTGCGAAGCTACATTGGTGGGTGTGTCAACTCGAAACCACACTGGTGCACCCCAGCTCCTGAACAAGTACGCAGTGTCTTGATAGCGTAGAACGTCGGTCGGTCGGTCCATGCCAGCGCAGCCAGCTTGAGGATCGATGCTGCAACCACGAACACGGCAGAACATCATGGCACACTTATCCACACGCATCCAGGCCAAAGGTACCGGTCTTTTTTGGGGGGTCTTCTACCGCAACCAAGTAGACCAGGATGCAGATCCCAAAAACTGGTCGGCGCGCATGGCAGCTACAAGGATGCGATTGACGTTTGGTTGCTTCGTGACTACGCACGCAGGCACAACGAGGCTCAAGGAAGGCACAAGTAAAAACGCTGTCGTTCGTTACGATTTAACTTCCCTCTCTCCCCATCTGTTCCTCATCGAGACAACAAGACTAGGCCAAATGTTAGCAGTTACCGCGTTGCACACAAAGCCACTTGCGTCCGTCGCGGCAATCAAGCCCGTTTGTGCACTCGTCTTCTCTCCCTCATGTCGCCCACGGCACCTGCGCCAGACCACCCTTTTTTCTCAGTGGTCTCGCCTGCCGCGTTGTCTCCTCTCCTCTACAGCATCGTCTGCTGTTTCTCAGCACTACCTTTCCATACCCCAATGCAGCAGCACAGCATCACAAGCCCGGGCTTTCCCCGGCCAAGTTGTATCTGAGCAACAACACGTGCCGGTGCTCTTTTTGATCGTGTGCGTACCCGAAACGCACGTGACACCTGTCGTCGTCCATTCCGTGCACCTGCGCCTTCGCCTGGCTCGTCATACAAGTTGCAAAACGGGACAAGCCACGAACAACAGCTAAAAGTCTCACATCTCTCGTGTCCAACTAACCCCTTTGTGCGTCACTAAACATCGAACCACTTGCACGTCGAGTCGTCCATCATCCCCATACTAAAGCTACAAAGAATGGACAAGAAGCTTCCGCGACTGGTGCGTGTGAGAAAAAAAGAGAAGAAAAACAGGCGTATGTGTAGTGGTGGGGGGGGGTTCTTTTTGCGAGCCAATGTGCATGTAAAACGCTCGCGACGGCGAGAGTCACACACTACGGATGATGAATACCATGCGAAATATCGTTATCGGGCCATGGAGCTACTGGGCTTTGTCTGTCGTTGATCTGAGTATGCAAAATCCCAATGCGTCTTTTTCGACCATAAGTTCAGCTACGAGCTCATCGATTGGCTCCACGTCGGTCCTTTTCTAGACCCGACACACAAACGTACGGACGAATGAACGGCCGAGCGGACGAATCGCCACTGCAGTGAGCGCAAAGGATGGACAGATGGGCGTTCAGAGAGAGGGTAAGACGCCCATTTTGACCGCCATCCCCCGTTTCAATCGCTGGCAATCGAGCGACCGCGTCCCTGCAACGCGTGACGGACTGACGGACTGGACGAGGGACCAGTGTGTCGTGCTTTTCGTGTTGGGGAATGGTGTCAATGCTGCGCGTGCGGCTGATCTTGGGGACCATTGCACTGGGCTATGGCATTATCTTTGTCCTCTGCATGTGTCTGGTCATCTACATGCGGCACTATCGATCCAGTGCTCTGCGGGGGGACACGCGCGCTGCACGCCGCGTGCTCCTGCCGGCGTTCCAGCCGCTCTTGTGGCTCCTGACCGCCGTGTCGCTGGTCTATACCATTTGCTTTACTTTGCTGGTGTCGAAGAGCCCCGATCCGGCCGATCTCGATCGCGTCAAGACGGAGATTTACTACAGCGGACGGCTCTTTGTGATTGCGTTGCCAGTGCTGTATCTTCAACAGCGAGCAGTGACGACGCGTGCGTTGATTCGAGCTGCACTGTGCTCGCTGCTGCTTGCCGTGTACAACATCCCGATTGTGTGGGTCGTGGACGCAGCGCTCGCAGTCAAGACAGCGCATTATGTGGCAATGTTGACAGGATCGGTGCCGTTGGTTGTACTGGAATGGATATGTTTGCGGCCGTCCGAGAGAGCTAATCGCAAGACGTTTCGGGAATACGCAGCGTTTGTAGTCATTTACTATGGCCTGCGGGTGACTTATGGTGAGCTATATTGGCTGGGTGACGACTTTATAGACGTTTCGTTCATCTTTACGCTCGCGAGTATTTTCTGGGGCTCGTTGATTCCAGTGGTCATTTGGAGAGTGTTGAAAGCCGACACGGCGCACTGGCGTGGTCTTGGTAACCGTGCCGCGCATCTTCAGTCGCTCTTTCGGCAGAAATACCACTACCTCCACGAACGCGTTTCGTCGCGAGGGCTTCATCTGCTGATTGAAATGCATCGAAAACAGATCATTGATTTTGCTTATTTGGAACTGCAGCAGAAGATTGGTGCAGGTGCTAGCGCCGTCGTGTTCCGAGGCACGCTGCACTCGAAGGTTCCAGTGGCTATCAAGGTGTATACACCGCGGATTCTGTGCGAGAATGTTGTGGCTGCGTTCTCGCATGAAGCAGCGTTATCCGGTGCATTGCATCATCCCAATATCGTCCGATTCTACGGTATGTGCGTGTGTCCACCGACCGTGTGTCTGGTATCGGAACTTTGTCGAGCTTCGCTCGAAGATGTCACGCGCACCAGTGCTAGGATGCGACTAAAGCACCAGCGTGACCGAATCGAAGGAGATGAACAAGATGCGGTTCCTCAGGGTTGGCAGCAGCGCCAGCAGTTACTGATCGACTTGAACTACATGATTGACGCCACGCGCGCAGTGGTGTACATGCACAGCTTTACGCCAGCTTTCTTGCACCGTGACCTCAAACCGTCGAACTTCATGGTGGACTATTACGGTACTTGTAAACTCACAGACTTTGGTGAGTCGCGCAGTGTTCCGACGGAACATGTAGGTGGTGGAACAGATCATGATGAGACTAAGGCTTGCTCAGTGGCAGCGGCAACCGTGGCAGCATCGGCTACTACGTTCGTTGACGATACGTATATGGGAGTGCTGACGCCAAACACGTCTGCTCAAGTTATATCTTCACGGTCTCTGCTGGGACGTGATCGCGGACGAAATACAATGACTGTGCGCGGTACAGCAGATTACATGGCTCCTGAGCTGATTGAGGGCAAGGCAGGCACTGCCGTTTATGGCGAAGCGGCGGACATCTACTCGCTTGCCATTACGCTGTGGGACATTGTCCATCCGCTCGTCCCGAAGTACCCGGACGCGACTCGAAGTTACCTCCAGGTATTTGACAGTGTGCTAGACGGTGAACGGCCTCCGCTCAGTCCATCCCTCCATCCAGAGCTACATCGGTTGCTCACTGATGCGTGGGATCCGCAGCCGGAACGTCGACCATCCGCGGCATACATTCTCACAGCGCTCGAAACACTGCAGCAAGAAGTCAGCGCTCCGACGGCGTTGCGTCTTGCTACAGCACTTGATTGCGCCGGGACGCCGTCCACACCATCCATGGTCAAGGGCCAACATCTGATGCAGCGCATGGTCGAGCTTGACTTTGTGGACTCGGCATCCGAGGCTTATCGCATGGGCAACTCATTGATGAGTGCTGGGCTTTTGCACCACTCTCGGCACCGCGTGTCTTTCCGCAAAACGTCCGAGTTGTTCTACTTTGACGCTGATGTGCTGGGATTGTATGCACCAGCGACTCCCGACACTGGCCTCGCGACACCCGACGGCACGTTCGATCATTCGGTGCCCACGTTTCTCGACAGCAACCACCGACACACCTCAAGCGACGGGCAGCAGTTGCGAGGATCCAGTTCTCCCGTGGCGACTCGCTGCTTTTCACCACCTGCGCGGACGAGGCGGAGCACGGCAACTGCCTGTTGTCGAGCGAGCACCGAGTTGCCAGCGTGTGGTTGTCGAAAGCTCGGTCGTGGCTTTATTAGTCCAGACGGCCGACAGAAGCGTCGGTTTCGACGCAGTAAAAAGTGGCTCTCGATCGCGGAAGAGCGCATATCAACGGGCAAGCTGCTGTTCCACGAGACCGAGTTGGTCGAGCCGTTTTACGACGAGGCGGACGAATTTGAAGAGTACAGTATCAGTGGCAATTGGGAAGACACGAAAGCAGATATGACGAGAGCTCGAGGAAACACTTCGATCGTAAGCATTGACGAGAATGTCGAACTCGAGCTCGACGATACTTGTTACGTCAACTTTGAACGCAGCTAGAAGAAGCGCAGGAGTATTTAACCACACGATAGAAACGCACTTGTCTACTTGTCACTTTTCGCCTGCGCTGTACCCGTTGGAGCTATTCAGACGGAACCAAGTCGGACTCGTCCGAGCAACAGCGTGTCTGTGATTCGCTGAAACCCCACCAGCCAATCAGCAACGCTCCACGCACCTCATTGCGTCATGTTCGCCAAGCCTTCGAAGGTCAGCGGGAACGTGCTGCTCAAGAACAAGGACGTCAGGACGCTGCGTCACGACGTCGCCACGTGCTTTGCAAGCTCTATAGATGGCCCGGATGACCCGAATCTCAAGCGAGTGCTGCCACCTAAGGCTGTTGTGCAGAAGGTGCGCTTCCAAGCGCCATCGCGCGTCGTGGTGTATACTGCAGAGGCGAACAAAGTGCCGGTACTATTCGATATGACAGGGAAAGGCGAGTGGGGCTTTAGTGTGTACGCACTATGGCAATCGCCAGCACTGCTGCCTCGTCTGATGGTCCATGCTCCGGTGAGTACGTTTGTGCTGCGTGGCGCCGATGTGATGCTGCCGGGTGTCGTCTTTCCGTCCCCAGAGGCGCTGCAGACGCTGCGGAAAGGGGAGCTGCGAGCTGTGTACGTGGAGGGCAATCCCCATGCAATTGCAGTGGGTGAGATGCTCGTGGATGCAGCGGATGTGGAACGCAGTGGCAAGGAGGGACGAGCGCTCAGGCTCTGGCACGTAGTTGGCGACGCGTTGTGGCAAATGGGGCCGCAAACGCTACCAAATGAAGGGTTTTTAGGTGACCATGTGGTGTCGATTGGGCAGAAAGAACAGCTGGAGGAGACCGAGGAGGAAGAAGAGAGAGGTGGTGATGCAAGTGGGACAACGGAGAGTGGTGCAAGTTTGGAAGATGAGGTGCAGGGAAAAGATACGAAGAAGGAGGAAGAGGAGGTGACCAAAGAGCAGATGGATCGGTATTACGTTGAGGCTTTGCTGCAAGCACTGAGGACTTCGCGGGTGCGTGAGAAAGACCTGCCGATGCTGGCAAGCTCGTTCCATGCCAACGTGCTGTTGCCATGTCGTCGTGCTGGTGTGACACTGAACATCAAGCACAGCTCGTTCAAGAAGCTGTCTGTGTACTTGAAAGGGATGGAAACGCACGAGCTACTAACGGTCGTTGATAATGCTGGCGTGGTGTCAATCACAACGATCTCCAGACGCCATCGGTACGTGACGAAGATGGGGTTTGTCTGTTGAGCTGCTCGTATTTACTTTACGTAATCTGATCAGGGATGTGCTGTCGCACGAAGCATATGAGACGGTTGAAGACGCGCAGCAGAAAGAGCAGGCCACTGCTGACAAAGCAGCAGGGTTGCATGATTTCACTCCTGGCCAGTCTACGCCTGAGATCGAGGAGAGTTTTGGTTTGTCACCGGCGCTCAAGACGTTGTTTCTACCGATTCTGCCCGTTGCTACTATTGATCAGCCGGTCCAAAAGTACTATTCGCGTATGGAGGTTCGCGACTTGGTCACTCAGTACGTCGAAAGTCAAGGACTAGTTGACACTGAAAACCGCAAGTTTGTGCGGCTAAACGGTCCTCTTACTGACGCTCTCTACGGCAAGAAAGCACCTGCTGGTGGGTACAAAGAGCGCCTCGCTCGACAAGAAATTTGCAATCTTCTGCTGTCCAAGTGTACGCATTACCACCGAATCAGGCTCTTTCCGACGCACGCAGCTAAATTCCGTGGCGGCAGCTTCCGTCCGATTATGATTGTTGCTAAAAAACTGAAGGGCCGAAACAACACGACAGTGACGTCCATTGCGTTTTATCAGCAGTTCGGCATCGATGGCGCTGCGTTTGCCAAAGAGGTGCAAAAGAAGTGGGGGTGTAGCGCTGCCTTGCGGCCATCCGAAGATAAGAGCATGTGCGAAGAGATTCAGATCCACGGCCAGATGGTGAACGAGGTACTGGAGCACTTGGGGACCAAATACCGCATCAACGCAAAGTACTGTGACGTGTCTTATGGCAAGGACGTCAAGGCCAAGAAGAAAAAGTGAGACAAGAAACGTGTGCACGAACGAGTACAGTCAAGTATTAGCCGTGAGGTCTTTTTTTAGGTGGACAGAAGGTGTTCTACGACGCGGTGGAATCCTTCACTTTCGGCGGTGACGCAGACGAAGTAAGCGACGTTCTCGATTTGCGCTTGTTTTTCTTCTTAGTGCGAGGAGCGGTCTCGTTGCTTGTTGCAGGAGGTGCCGCCGACGGTATGACGGTAGCAGCTGAGGTCGGCTTGTTCGTGGACACACCTGGCGACTTGTTCCTCTTTGTCGCCCTTTCGCGCTGCTTGTTCTTGATGCGTCGAGTCTCGATGGGATGGCGAAGCAAGACGTGATACACGACTAGCGCTAGAGCGCACACGGGCGTGAGGTAGAAAAACATTCGCGCTCGGTACAAGCCATAGGTAGCCTGGATAGCTGCACAAACCTGGAAAGCCATCGGCACGATGGCATGCATCGCCATGTCCACCTTGCTCTCTTCCAGGAACACTTTGTACTTGGCAGCCTCCTGGAAGTTTCCATTTCCGCCTCCGCACAATCGACACGATCGGATGCAGAAGTCACAGAAGTCTCGCGAAACCTTGAACCGATACACACAATCACACAAAACGACACGAAACGTCGGGCCGACGTACACCGCCCCACCAGCTGTGCCTTCCGTAACGCAGTGCGTTGTCTTGTCGCTGTACTCGACAAACACAGCCCCAGGACCGCCATCCTCGAATACACACTTTGGACAGTTTTCAGCCGTGATTTTGACACTGCTGGCTGCACTGCTGGATGACTTTCCGTAGACAGAAGCTGCATCTTGTCCGGACGAAGCACCGAAAAATGCCGTCGGAGGCAGCGGGATCATTCCGCTCAGCGACAGATGGATAAGGTACGTGTACATGCTCAGAATGACAACGTACGAGCCACCTTCCATCAAGAGACTGTTCGAGAGCTCTGGTGGTGGGAAACGCGCTATCCCAGCAAAGTAAGCCATTTTTCCGACCCAGGACAAAATGGAGAGCCATAGCACAGCGAAGAGCGAACGTTGCATGCGCTGCTGATCCGACGTTCCGTAACTGTCTCCACCCAACGCCAGTGTGTACACGACAAACACGACGAACGACGCCAATACCAACAGTCCCAAGATTTGAGAAGAACTCCATGACGAGGAGCTCGTAAAATGCCCCAGCAGCTGTGCAGTCGCGTGGATGATGACGACCAGCATCCAGCTGCGAAGCTTCAGTCGATCAGTCACATTGCCAACAACTGACACAAGTGGCAATACGGCAAAGCGCTGTAGCAACGAAAATAGTGTCGTCAGCGCGTACAACAAGCCCAGCGCGTAGGCGTATAGAATGACAAACTCAGCAACTGCCGCCATCATAGCAATCGAACTGTCTGCTGCCTGTTCAGTGAGCATCTGACCGCCATTGTACAGGTAGAGCACCCAAGCCGTAAGAACGAGCGTGAGTACAGCAATGGCTGCCGCCGCGACCCTTCTCACGCCGACGTCGGCTGTTTTGCGCGAGCAATACGTGACCATGTTCTTGAAAAAAGCAGGAGCATGCGTCCAAGGGTGCAGCATCGATGTAAACGATGGAAAGTTCTCTGGGTGAAGATCCTCCGTACCATATGTTGACTGCAAATTGAAGCGACTTTGCCACTGCGAAACTTGTGCGCAGAAAATCTGCAACGCCAACGCGTACATGATCACGAACACCATCGTCAATTTAGTACGCAGCAGCTTGGCCAAGAAGAGCGGGAGGGACAGCGCATATCCAGTGTACTCTCCGGGATAATATCCATCCTGCACATACGTCCGGTGCAACGAAACGTTCGCAGCACCCTCAATCTCCACATCCTGCTCAGCACCTAACTGTCCAAACACCACTTTCTTCGCAATGGCAAGTCGCGCACTCGGACTGCTTACTAGCTTTCTCGTCTCGAGATCCACAACCTCGTACAAACTCTGCGCAACAACTTTCAGCAACTGATGACACCATACCAAACAGAAATGGTCTACTGGCGTCTTCACTGCTGGAAGCGCCGACGCCAGCGCTGCAAAGGCCCGCGACGGGTCAGCCACCGTGTCCACACTCGTCCACGACGTATGTACCAGTGTATCCTTGTGTCCACCAGCAATCGAGACATAGACCACATTGTCGTCCGGCTGTCTCGCAGCGTGCATTCGGTCGTACACGGCATTCATCTCGGCATCAAACACGAACGACGGTTGCTCGTACGGTACACCAAGTGCCACCACGTGTTGGATCGAGTGTCGTTTGTAATTAGGCAGCGCTTCTGCAGTACGGGCGACGATGCCGCCCATGGAATGAGCCACTAGCATGACGCTCTCTGGCCTCGCACGCTTGAGAGCGTACTCCTCTGTCGTTTTCGTCTTGCGTCTCGTGCGGTACGCGTGAAGAATCGCGCGCACGACGTCATTGAGATACGTCGCTTGGTCCGTAATGAAGTTTCCATTGAGTCCCGTCGGCTCTTCGTTAAATTCCAGTGCAAACACGTCAAACAGGTCGTCGTCCATGTCCCATAGATGCCGACCCAACGACCGCGCTTGCTTGTAACTACCGCCGTGCCCTGGCACAAACAGGACGGGCACACCAGTCAAAGGCTCGCGCGCCGACTTCATGTGCACGCGATAGAGACGGTACTTTGGGTGCACAACCGGTCCACTCGAGTGCCACGTCACGGGCGTGTACACGGGCCACGACCACGTCATGTCGCACTGCGACGGCAGCAACGTGTTCCTCGCCATGTCCAGCACAAACGCAGTCGTGAGCAAGACGCTCAAGAGCGCCAGCACACGCAGCAGCACCAAAGGCGGTGATGTAGCCATGACGGTGAAGCGCGAGGCCATTGCGAGCGTTTGGTAATGGGGCTGTGGCTCGCAAAAATGTGGTCGGATGGGTTGTTGTGCTTTCGGTGACCAGTGACCGAATAAAACCTCGATACCCCTTTTTGGCGAATCAGACACAAGCGAGAGGAGGATCGCGGCACACAACGCGTGGCGAGGAGCTCTATGAAGGTGACGATCCAGCGCTGGCACGGCGTCGCGACATGGACGTGGGGCGTCGACGAAGAGTGCTGCGGCATCTGTCGCTATGCGTTCGAGGCGTGCTGTCCAGACTGCACTTACCCTGGCGACGGCTGTCCACCGGTGTGGGGCGCGTGCCACCACGCTTTCCACATGCACTGCCTCGTCAAGTGGCTCGAGTCGCTGCAGTCGATGCGTCAGCACTGTCCCATGTGCCGACAAGACTGGCAGTTCCGCAACTAAACCGACAAGAGACCTGCTGAGCAGCAGTCGAAGGAGCTCGAGACGGATACAGTGACTGATTGATTGATGTCATCTCGGTGGACGTTCGTCCAGGTGGTCAGTTGTCCCGTTGATCGCTTGCTTGCTTGTTTACTTCGTCACCAGCAGCGGACAGTTCTTGTCATCAGTCCGTGTGTCGTTGATCTCTTCCAGCTAGTGTGGCAGCTGTTGCTACTGCTGGTTCGTCACTTGTGCGAGCTTGAGCGTGCGCTCGTGGTACACGCTGCGCTGCGGCATGTAGGTGGCGAGAAAGCGTGCGAAGTCCACGTCGCCCTGAACAAACTGCGTGGCAAGCTCGTCGGTTGTATTGTCCGCATGCTTTGTTGCTGCAGCGAGCTGTTCCAGTAGTGCATCGGGTCGGTGACGCTGGAGGTGGAACGTTGACGTTAGAGCTCAAGGTGGAAAAACGGGCGTGTATAAATGGAGATGATGGTATGAGTACAGGGGATGCGAACGCGAACGCACGTACCGCAATGATACGCTGCTGTCGTGCCTGTATCTCAGCGAGCGCTTGTTGAGCCGCACGCAACTCGGTTCGTTGAGCCGCTACCACGGCTTGTAGATCACGCAGCTCGCGCTCATAGCCGAGCGTCGTCCTTGCGATGCCCATGTTGCAGTGCAAGACTTGGTCTCTCAACTCGGTAAACTCCGTTACTAAGGGTAAACTCTTGACAAACTTCTTGAGCGCGTGGGTGTCCGAGTTCAATTCCTCGAGCTGGGCAACGCTACATGCATCGAATGAAAAACAAACATGTCAGCGCTGTCTCCATTCTCGCTTGACCAGCACGCGTTGTGACGCACGAAAGTCCCTCCAGTTCCGGGATGACTGCAGGAACTATCGGCATCTGCGTGCGTTGTATCTTGCTTGTATCTGGTGCTTGTTGTAGTGGTCGTTGGTGGATTGGAACTGGTGGAGACTGCCGGCTACTTGACGATCTGTACTGCGACAACGACGCAGTCGACGCTGTCGATACCGACGAGCTACTCCCGGCTAACGACGCCAGCGGCTTGCTTGCTGCCGTCTGGTTGGCTCCAGATCGCAGTTCCGTGACAATCTCCGTCACGATCCGTCCAAGATCCGAGTGCGCTGTCCATCTGCTGAGATCCGGGTGGGCGTGGACATTGCCCGCAGTATCGATCCACCGATGTTGCACGGGGATGGACGTCTAATGCCACACCGAACGCCAACAAATCAATCACAGCACAATTTGCCACTACTTTGTTCACAGCTTGTTGCACTCTTCACCTTTAGCTGCGGAACTCTCACTGGGAACTCCGACGGCAGTTGTCTGCACGCAACAACAGCAACAACAACAACATCAAACCGTCATTCGCATCAGTCTATCGCACTTGTTCCGGCGGTTTGCTCGCTTTTTCTCAGCTTCACCACATAACGTACACTTCGAGTGTCAAGGGACCGCGCGGCGTGTTGGTCACGGGCACCTCAAACGTCGTTTGCTGCTGGTTCTTGGCTCGACCTCCAGCACGCACGAGACTTGCCAGCTGACGGCCTCTCCTGCAGACACAATAGTGCACCGTCCGAGTGTTAGTGAGGTGTACGCACAATACTGACACTCCTTGTCAGAGGATACAAGCCTCGGGTCACTTACAGGCGCTCGAGTTCGCTCAGGTGCGTCTCCTGGACAGCCGATGCTTTGCTTGACGAGCTCCGGAACCCAAAGAACGACATTGTTTCGAAATGATTGCGCGTCGTCGATGGGTGCAAGTGTGTGGGAGCGAGTACTCCCTTGGTTTAGTGACTCCTTGGGTGGGGTACACTACGGGTACGCAGGTGGGTACAATACGGCGTGTGCGGAAGGAGCTTTCCGAACGCGACAGAAACGCAGCTGTGTCTCGTTTCGATCCACTTTTTCCTTGTTGTGGTGGTAGATGTGTCAAAAGGTACTATTCCTGCATCGTCTGTACAGCATTTACGCCACTCGCAGCGCGCTCTTGCAAGACTTGACGACTTGGTTTGAGTGCTTATATATGACGCACAAACGTATGGAGAAGCGTGCGGCCATGAATGGCCTTTTGGAGCTTGGATGGTCGTCCCTTTTCGGCCGAGACGCATCGATTGCTGCAAAGGACAAGGATGTTTCGTGTCCTACTTGCATGCACTTGTGTATCGAAAGATAGTCACGGACCTTGCAAATGATTGTGCTATAGCTGCTGCGTTGATGACTTCGTGTTATACAACACCAAAAAACGCGTCAGCCGCAAAGTATGTGTAACGAAGATACTTAGACATCCTGCAAGGCATCTGCTGCTTGTGCAGCACGTAATGGACACCTTGTACAGATGGAAGTTGTTACTAGAAGCTTCTTTTGCAATATCTATTATAGTGCTAGCAGCGGTGCTATTGAATGAGTGGTCAGGTGGCTAGGCTATGTTGTCAAGGCGTCAGCGCTGAAAGAGCTCACAAACGTAAGCTGTTGAGTTTCGCAACAAAGAATGTAGCGTAGTACCTGCAATTGTACGCCTGTAAGTGTTCGTGGTAGCAGTGACAGTGTTTCGGTTCGAATAGGCAAACGTTTGCTCGAAAAAACAAACTGCTCGACGAATAGCCATGTCCGGAAAAGTCATCGTGGTGTCGAGGTAGAACTCGGCTTTTGATCCGGAACCACACGAAGCAAACGCGTCGATTAAGCTCAAGTGGACACTGTTGCATTCCACAAAGGTGTTGCTCAAAGCTGAGACGGACCGATGAACACATCCTTGCCCTATCTGGATGCTTTCACATTCTTCAAGCGCTAGTTATCGACGTCAATACATGCCTGCATTATTGCCAGCATAACTGCATTGACCTCCGAAAGCTAAAACTACGAGCGCCAAAATAGGCTTGTTTGCAAAATAGGCCAAGTTTAGATGCTCCAACTGCAAGTGCGTGCTAGTCCCTTGAAACGTACGGAAACCAGTGCCGGAAAAGCCCACACCAAAGGGTCCAGCGAACATTGGCATACACATTGGAATCATTCAACATATCTACTACCTCCACTGTTTACACGGATCGACCGGTGAATATGACATACCTATCTCACACGCAATGGTCGTCTCTAGGTCAACTTAGTCCCGATCAATGACACCGCGGCTATTGGCAATAGCGAATGCCATTTGCTTTGCAAGCACAGCTTTGCTGGAATAGGCTGGCAAGTGCAAAGTATTGGTGCAAGTCCGCGCAAATGGCAGCGCAAGATCGACATCAGCGTTATCAACAACCCGGCGGACGACTTCAAATGGCGGCTTGAGCGCCGGAAAGCCGCCAGGAGGTAAATTTGGACATCCTGTCGCATAAAGCAGGAACGCTCGACGCTCTATGGCTGACATTTCCTCCAGCACTTCGAAGAAAAACTGCACAGGTTGGCTGTCCTTTGTGAATCCATGCGCAAGCTTTGTATCCTTCACCAGCGAGTCCACATTCCACTCTACATCCTTCTCACCGCAAAGCATCGATAGCACTTCTGGAACAAACATCAAGCGCAACTTTTCCAGCGGAAAAACCTCGCTAATGCCTTCACGGAACGCCAGCACCTGAGGACGTATGCCCGAGTCGAGCCACAACTCCAGCACCGCCCGTACGTATAGCACCAAGGTGCTAGGGGTCACAGCGATATCTTCCCCGCCGGCAACAAGTGGTTCCTGCGAAAACGGATCAATGAACGTGAGCCCGACGGCACTCAACCAGTCTTGAACGTCAAGATTGTCAATTTGGACACTCTGTTTGCCCAAGACTAGCTTTTGAGAAGCTTTGTACATCGAATACACGATACGTCCGTGGCTCAAAAAGATGTCGCCTAGCTCTTCCAGTCCAAAACTTTCACCAAGCACAAGCTTGAGGAACTGCGGCGACAACGGCAGCGGAAGCAAGTGCTCATCCATTAGTGCTTTGCCTGCTAGTCTACCCATCATGCGGAAACACTCCACTAGCTTCGGGTTCGATCTGCGCTGAGGATATGGGAATAAACCGTTGGAGTGACGGATCACTGGTGTATCGTCCGCGATGCCGCAAACGTTAGCTCTGTGCGACATCGCGACCTCATCGTCTTCGCCAGGGATCCATAATCGATCTGTCTCAGTTTCTGGGACTGTCTGGAGCGCGTGTGCTACTGTTGAGTAGAACGCTGCTGTCACGCCAGAGCCGTAGCCCTTCTCACCGACGAACACCACATCTAAGATAGCTTTACGTTTCGCGTGCATTTTCATCACTGCCTCCGCGGATCGCAAGATATGCTCACGGTACACTTTGACGCGTTCTTTCGGAACAGGCGATATGGAGACCTCTTGGTTGAAAATGCCGCCTCCTACCATTGCAGACATCCCGGAGTCGGCTAAGCTGTCCTCGCTATTCAGTCGATTGCGGAACCAGTGCAGCGAGCGGGTGCAGCCGAACGATGTAGAGCGAAACAGTTTTTCTCGCAGGTCTCGCGGAAAAAAGAATTTACAGTGGGTCACAAGCGCATCGCACCAGGACGGATAAATACCACTACACATGGAGAGCACATCTCGCATCTGCGTCTCGAGCTTATTGTACAATCGCGGGCTCGTCCATAACGCTTCATCTAGAGACGCCGCATCTGCGCGGAATTGAAATAAATAGCGGAGCAGGCGCACCGCGCTTGCCACCGTGTCAGGCACGATAATTCCGTTACACGTACTGCTGTTGCCACCTTGTAAAGTGGCAATGCGACTTGGCCACTGCGAGTCTTCTGTAGCGCCATCGCTATCAAGCGTAACAACACCATACGACAACGACCGTGCCGGTCGTTTGCACGCAATGGCTGATAAAGGAGCCAGCGAGTCGGTGCCAGAATCGACCGGATAAGAAGCGCTCGTTGTGTAAGAAAACTGCGCCCCCCATTGAACTTGATAATCACAATATAGTTTGTAGGTCAGCTTCCAAGGCGGAAGGGATGTATCCACGGCGCTGGAGGTCGCGCTAGTGCAGGAAGGGTCACTGCCGGATCGAGCACTCTGTTCGCGGCGCAAGTCCTCCACACATTTAAGCACGTTCTGGTCAGAAGGAAAGCTACGAAGCACCACAGGTTGTCGCGTTTTCATGCGAGATACTTGTACATGTGCAGTCCTGGAGTCGTCAGCAGGCGCGCCTTTCTCCTCGACTTCGTCTTCACTGCTGCTACTTCGGGACGCACTGGAAGCTTGCAGCTTTTCCATGTAACCGCGTGATCGCAGAAACGTCAGCATCCGCTTCGATTTAGTTGCATCTCTGCATTCGTGCACCGCAAAAGCGACAAATCCATCGGCTTTCAGCAGCCTCCGACTCGCACCAGGGTCGGCGAACTTTGAAAATAAGATGCAACACTTCGCAATTGATTCGGTGTGACTGTGCGTCGTCGACCCACGTACAGCTGACATAAAAGCAATAAACTTTTCAATATCCCAAGGAGCTCCGTCATGAACGGTCCGCTGAACCACATCTGGCAGCTTCTTCCGCTTTTTCTTTTGGGATGTCCCCGATACGCCAAACGAATGAAAGATGTCCAGCAAGGCCTTGTGAGCATGAGCAGTTGCCTCAAACTGCTGCGTGGATGGGTTCAGCTGAATAAGTGGTGACGATGCAGGTGTGCCTTTGCTCCACGTGCTTCTGTCAGGAAGCTCAAGGCCACGTTCGGACGACCCTAGACTCGGATCCTGCGCTACAATACTTGCGTCGCACTTGCGGAATCCAACCACCAAACTTACCTTGGGCAGCTGCGAACAAACCATTTTAGGCTTCGTACCCTTGGGTCTTACATGCGATTGCAATGACGACAAACCGTCTCCAACTGAACTCTCCTGGGTGACATAACTTCCCTCTTTAGACGTTTTAGCAGCAACGGGGTGAGGCGCTAGTATCAACCCTTCATCCGTCAACACTTCCTCCTCAATCAGCTCATTCGATGGCGTGCTCGATTGCGCGCTATAAGTGGCAGGTGATGCTTGATCAGTAGTGTCGACATCGCTCGGCGCATTTCTGCTAACTGCAGAGTTACGCGATGCCAACGTACGGAGTTGGTCCATCGCTATGCCTGAAAAGCCTTGTCTGTCTCCAATTTGATTTTGCTGCAAAGATCCTGCGACCCTCTCAAACGCTCGGTGAATGGCACTGTTGTCTTGACTATTGCGTCCGTCGCCAAATAGTCTGCTCGAGGCGCCCCGCCCTGAAGCCATCTGCAGTGCTGCAAGAATGCGTGAGGGAGCGGAACTGGACAACATACTTCGATCAAGTGCGAAATTGCGTATTCGATCGTGATGCACACTGACGACAAGGGACGGTTTGGAACCAAACGCGATTTCTACAAGAACAACAGCGGATTCATGAATAGATTTTGACCTGGTAGGGAAACCCTTGATCGTGCCAGCGACACAGAGGTCCGCAATTGGCGACCCCAGAGGAGGCAAAACCCACACGCGGTCACCAACATTTCCAGCCAGTGACGATGTGTTTTGAACAGAAAACAACCGTCGCATGCTCGTCGCCTCCATTGAATCACTCTCATCTGCAGCAATTCTAGCGGCAGTCATCGGACGTGCGGGAAAGCGGACCCGACTCGTCTCCACGCGGCTTTTTTCGATGCCGGAACTAGTTTTTACGTCATACAGTACGCTTGCAGTACCACCTGGCGCGCTGTTTTCACTGTAGATCCGAGTGACTTCTCCCAAAGCGCCATCCACATCAACTACGCTACCTACTTGGGGCTGGGATCTTCGCGGGCGGAGGCAATCAGCTCGCACATCGTGTAGATCTCGGTCGTCACCCAGCAATTTGACCGAGTGCGTGCCCTGCGCGGCAAGCACTTCTTCACATGTCTGCTCTTCTGACGTGCCTGCACTATGTACAAGTATTGCCGCATACCAAGCTCCTGGCAATTTCGCATTCTTCAACACACCATCATTTTTCACCTCCACCAGGCAGGTTCTGATGCTACCATGCTGCTGCTGTTTATGAGTAGGAGACTTCCGTTTTCGCTTGTTGTTCTTTCGTTTCTTTTTGCCAGCACTTTGACGACCGGTGTTCGTAGCACTTGGCAGCCCATACAGCTGCAGATCTAGTGCAACGTTCTCGTATACGTTCACACTTCCAAGCAGCTTGCATTGAGAGTCGTGAAGTAGCATCTCTACGAGATCATCGCTTGACTCTTCAGTCGGTTTGGCCAAGTGACAAGACCGTGTATCATCATATCCCACGACAACAAACTTTTTCCATTTTCCATCCACCACTTTCTGAACGGAGTGCCCCACTAGATTGAGATACAGCAACGACAGGTCGGAGTCGATTACGGGCATGCACCGAAAAAGCGACCTCTCGAACGACTGAAAGTGCGTCAACGGTGAAGAACGAATCACGTTCTCTTTTCGACCCGCGTGCTTCTTTCCGTCAGCAGCCCTGTCACCTGGCCGCAAGAACGAGATATTCAGCTGCCGAGTCAGCGGAAACAGCTCTCGTCCTTTGCCAGTATTGAAACAAACTAACGAAAACGTCTCTTCCTGCGTGATAATGTTCTGCAGCTGTACAATCAGATGCTTCAGTGTAGAAGGAGAGCGTTCGAAAGCCTGCGTTATTGCTACTGCTCGGGTTTTGTCAAGCTCACCTTGCGGGGAGATATACTGGAGAATCGCAGGCAGCAGCTCCGAATGTTTGAACTCATACGCTGTAATGGAGTCTGACTGCTCAAAAAGGTCCACTAGATCTACCAAAACGAGCTCTTTCTCGCGTAAGGAGTCGTCATCGGACACCTTCTTTAACCGCCTCGCGAGATTCCGGAGCTTGTGGAGATGAAGCATACCACTTTCGAGCATGTCTGATTGACGTGACTTCAGCAGACTCAGCGCTCTTCCAAAAATTGTTTCGCGAGGACTCCGGAGACAACTACCAGTGTGCGTAGAGCTGGTCCAGCACGTCGGTGCGCAATTTAGCTGCTCGATTTGCTCGCATATTCCTCTCCTTTTCATTTCGTAAAATAAGCAAGATTCCTTCGATGATTTCCTGACCATAGCCTCCAAGATACGAAACGCTAATATATATGACGGCAAATCATGAGCAGCAGTAGATTTACCTCCGCGCGGGGCTATCTGCAAAGACGCTGATGTCGCCCTGGTACAGACTGGAGCGTCTGTGTTAGCTAAACCCAGCTTTTCGCCTTGCAGCAAAAAATGTACTGTGTCCAAAATGAGCACCACATCCGCCTCTTTCAAAGCGTGAATGAGCTGAGATGGTGCCATTTCCAGCACACATGCTACCGTGGAAATAACGGAGCGCTCCACATTCTGAATATCCACGTCATGTAGCACTGCTAATAGACATTGAGTTAAGGCAAGACTGAACTCATAGACCTCGTCAGCTGTGACACAAAAGGCATCACGTTCCAGCACCGCATCTTCATCTGAATGAATTTTGCTTCCCCTTGACGCAACCGTTTGTCCAGCGAGACTCGGGGTATCGCCACCTGCATCTAGCAAGACTCGATCCGTCTCTACACTTGACGCAGATGACATAGAGTTAAGACGGCTTCTGCCCAGCGGTGGTACCGCACTCAACATGCCGTCATCAGCGTTTGCCATGTCCTCGTCGCTGCAATCACCCATCTCTTGACTATGTCGGCTTGCGTCATCGGAATCTTCGTCGTCGTCATCGTCGTCGTCATCGTCATCGTCATCGTCATCATAATCCAAGTAGTAGCCTTCTTCACCTTCATACTCGTCATCATCCATGTCATCGTCATCGTCATTGTCTACGTATTCATCGTCTTGGTCAGATGCACAGAACCACGTCCGGCTTTTACCACCTTCCCCCTTATAGCTCTCTGACAAATCGCTGTCGTAATCTTGCACGCCAGACGTGCGCTGATAAATCTCCAGCAACTTTTTCATCGGAGACGGAGTGGATTCCACCGTGCCGTCCCCACTTGCTGTCTTGTCAGCCAAATTTACGACATCGAGAACGGTCTTCTTTTCTCGATCTCTAGCTTGTACACGTGCCCCACATTGCAACAGAAAAGCAGCGATATCGCACCGACCCGTTCTAGCTGCGACGTGGAGGGCAGTACCGTCATTGCCCATCTGGTGAATGTCAGCACCTCGCTTTATCAGAAATCGTACCATTCCTAGCGATGCGCACTCCACCGCAACATTAAGTGGTTTATCAAACTCATCCTGCTGGGCCACAGAGAACTGTGGAAAGTCCAGATCGGCGCCGTCTTTCAAAACAACGTTGACAGCAGGAATTGAATCTGCTCGAATGAAGTCTAGCAGTAGCGTCGATAAGACATTAGGGTCTGGTAAAGAGTCCAACCGTCGGCGATTGCGCCTCATCCGACGCGGCTGTGATACCAAATCGTTAAAATCGGGAGCTGATTCGCCCCCCGTAGCGCATCTATCCATCGAATTGTGACGCAGGCTTTTAGCGGACCCTGATGAGTGCTTTTTACAAACTACGCGAGAAAGCATTGATGTGAGCTTCAACACGTTAGTTCGAAGTGCCGTTGACGATGACTGCAGTATCGCCAATACGCCACTAAACAAATCGGTATAAATTCTTTCCCGCAAGAACTTGTCAACAATTTGCGGGCGATTCTCAAACAAGTAGAGTAACAGCGAGACCATTGCTAAACGTGATTCTTCTGACTCTTCGCTGTTTGTGTTCACCACAACTGCAACAAAGTTGCGCAACACTTCGGACGAAACGAGTTGTCTGATAATCTCAGGACGGTCATATGGAGTGCGGTGAAATAAACGCAGCAAGCACTTCGCTGCCTTGACGTGCAATGGCACGTGTCTATGCTGTAAGACATTCCGCAAAAAGCCAATCAACTTCGTTGCGAGTTCCAGCGTAAGTCGAGCGTCCTGTCTTACTGTCGTGGGTTTCTTCGCGTTCCCTGTAGAAATACGCTTTTGACTGGACTTTCCGCTCCATCGTAATTTCAAGCAGCATTTTTGCAAGATTTCGAGCGCCGTCATTACGATACTTGGGTGAAAGCCACCATCTCGTTCCTCAGCTCTATCCACAAAGCTTATCAAGAAGTCTAGATACCCAGCAAAATTCACTTGTGCCACCACTTCTCGAAGAGCGAATCCCTCAGTGCTACATAGATTTGACAAGCCGCTCAAACACTCTTCCACGATCATCGAATCATTCTTTGCAGCATCAGAATCGAAGGCATTCCCACCACTCGGGCTCTTCCACGCTAATAATTTAGTAATGTATAACCTGACGACGTCTACCATCTTCGACCGTGCAAACATGTGTCTGTCCATCTTCATCATATAGTTAATGGACTGGACCGCCAACAGTTCAACTCTTGCTGGGTACTTGCGTTCATGGCCACAGAATACAGTGGACAACACTGTCAAGAGCTCTGGGTCTTTATCTGCTTTTGATGACGACACACAACCAAAACTGCGAAATTGGAACGACGACCCGTCGGCCCATTCACTGTCCGTCGATGCGTCAACCATTGCCAGTGCATGCGTTAGCCTCTGCAAAGTATCGACCAAGCAACCACTTGTTGGCTCCATCATCAGATTCTTTAGCTCGTCAAGCGAGACACCATATGCCGTTTTTGCTCTCTGTTGCAGCTTTTTTACACACTTCCGTCGTTTCTGTTTCTTCAGACGACGCGCCTGCTTCTTTTCCTCGTTCTTTTTCTTTCCTTCTGTGCTGTCACTTGCACGTGCCACTTTCGACCGCTGTGCAAAACAGTTCAGACACGTGCGTCCACAAGACAGCGTACCGCAACTCGTACAACTCCACGTCTCGCCGTCTTCTTCGTCGTCACTGTCGTCCTCGTCGCTATCGTCACTGCTGGACGAGGCAATCGACTCGTTTCCAGGTGCTTTCGCGTGTCTTGCAATACTAAGACCAGACGACAGCGTAAGCTGCGGATTCAACGTCCCGCAGACGGCACAGACTCGCATCGCCGCTGGACTCACGACCGTACAGACCGCGCATCGCCATTCCGAGGCAGTAATGGTTCCCCTGAATGCTCCAGCAACGGCCAAAGCAGACGACGGATTCGGCGTCGCGCACATCTCACAGAAACAGCGTGAGGCCTCGTTAAGAAACGTGCAACATGGACAACTCCACTGCGTGAGCAACGTCTTGTCTCGGTCCGTTTTTTCTTCTTCTTTTCCTTCGGCTGCCGCTGCTGCTTTATCGTCTTCTTTCTGTTCTTCTGCTGCTTCTCCTTCTCCTTTCTTCTCTTCTGCTTCTTCTTCTGCTTCTCGTTTTGCTTCTTGTGTTTCGTCCTCCTCCTGCTTTTCCTCCATCTTGAGCTCCTCGTTTTCCTCGCTTTGACGACTAGTGTTGCGTTTGCGTTTACTGCCGCTGCGACGCTTGCGGCCGCCTCGACTCGGCGCTACAAACTGCTCCATCGCTGGCGCGTTCGGGGATTTCCACAACTGCCGGTGGCTGGCCATCAGGTCCGAACCAAACTAGGTACGAATATCGAACCTAGGCGAAGAAGAAGGAGAAGAAGCCCCGAGTGTTTACACGAATTTGTTGCCAGTTCGAGAGGGTCGTCAGCAGTAAAAAGGTCAATTGTTGACCAACTGACGGTCGAGGTAGGCCAGCCAGCACGTTAGCCGGACTCGTAAGAGCAGAAGTACCGCTACCTGTCGTGCTAAATTGACGAGTCTTTGCTCTTGGGGCGGACCTCTGCTCAAGGTCTGGTTGCTGAACGTCATTCCATTATTGGACGGCATTCAGCCAACGCTTACAGTTTACGTCTGCATGAGCTGCACCTCGCTCTCAATCGACTGTATGACGAGCGTGCGCTCGTGTTTAGGCCTACGACGAGTGTATACCGGCAGGTACGATACCACTCGGAACGCACTCCCTGAGGATCAGAGAGCTGGTTCATATAGGGAGTGAAACACTTGGATGTTCTGGTATCGAGAACGATCGTTGTAGCAAGGCACGATAAAAGTTGCTATGAGTTCAAAGGTCCTTGAGATGCATCACGTTGCGTGTCAATACTATCATCGACAACCGTGTTTTTTGCCCAACTTCAGATCTGCCTATTCAGCAAATGAGGAAATAAATGACCGATGAACAGCCGTTTGTTACTTTGCCGTACGAATCTAACAAACAGATTCGAGCATTTAGGCATCATTTACGGACGCTAAAACGCTCCGTGTGCATCACAGTTTTACAAGTTCTCTGATGCATTGCAAACTTACACTGCTTCCGTACCAAGAACCTGTATACATGCAAGACATGCTTCTACCCACCGTGTCGCAGCAAAATCACTCGATAAAGTTGATCGAGTATTAGTTTCTACTTACTGTAATTAACAGTAGTTTGATTGAGTCCAGAAGTAGCGCTTCAAGCTATTGGAAATGAAAGAAGGCAGCTTTACGTTTCGTGGCAAGAGAGCTGTGCCTGTACTTCCTTTCAACCAAGCGACGTAGTCGCGTAGCTCGTCCATATCTACAATGGGTCAGCTCGGCACAACAACAACGAAAAAGCAGCAGCGCGTAACGTATGGTCCCACGTGCCGTACCTTTACTCGAACATGTGTGACAAAGGACGGATCGAAGTTTTGATCTTTCGCACACGAGCGCACTGGATCAGTTGTACGGAATGCAGATAGCGACGAGGCAGAGCTTTGACCTCACGGCCATCTGTGCGTCACATATTCAGTCACCCAGTCTGCCGGTAGCCTACTTGCGTCAATTTACGTGCCGCACTTTTGCACAAGAAAGAATGTATGGCCGGCCTTGCAAACAAGCTCTTGGGTCCTGCTTCACACAGCTTCCTACACTGCAAACTTACAACGAGATAACAGCGTTTGGCATCTTTTCTATCGCCTAGAACACGTTACCATTAGTGGAGTAGCATGGCCAATGTCCTTTTCCATATACTTGTCGACAACAGGCTGTACAGAAACAAAGAATTGGAGGCATGTCAAATGAATTGCTGCTTCGCAACATCCGATATGTGCACGTGCACGTGCACAGCCGTAGTAAACACTTCAGTGTGGGGCGTTTGGACGACATTGGCGTCAATGACGCACAGATGAAAGCACCGACTGTATTGTCTTGTTGGTGTACCGGAGGTGGCCGATGTGGCACTCTTGTCAACGATCGTGTCGACCCACAAGGTTTTTGTGCGTGCTTGTCAAGCGTGAACACAAGCTCATACGTACAGCCGACCATTTCGGTTCTGCGATCTCGCAGGGCCGGCCATCAGATCGCCGACAGTGTGTGCCTTGCGTATAGGTAAGCCAACTGCACTTGAGGACGCGCGTGCAGCGACAACCTGCAGTTTTATGCAATCGTATGGAAGGCTCAACATGACGAAGATGATGGAAGATGGAGGTGGATAGGGCCACTGGTCGTTCGCGTAGCCTTCGGTGTTATGGAAACGATGGAGCAACTAAAATTATCCGCACGGCGTATGTGCCGTTTGAGATATGTGCGTATACTAGTCACCCGTCGAATGGCGCTCCGATAAACGTACCCTTTCTCAGTCCATCCGTCTTTTATCGATTCTTACCCAATTCTGGTCAGCATAAGTCAAGGTCGCTTTCGACATGGACGCTAAGCAAATCTGTTGTTCGTTGCAGAGATTGCAGAAATTTTGAGCTGAGCAAGTGCTTCAAGACAACGGACATATACCTCATTCATCGGTCACTCCATCCAAAACTCAATGACAATTATCATAGCCTTCTCGAGGTGCCGCTTCATTGGACACTTAACTGCTATTCCTAGCACACTATCAGAATCAAGACCGTTGGTATGGAACACATCATCAGGCATCACCAAACGGTTCGTCAGCTAGGTCCAAGCACTCAAGCTCTTGCAACTAGGCAGATCCGAATAGTGAAGGAAAAAGAGGTGAGCAAAACTCAAAACTTGTCCTGCAGGAAAGATATCCTGGCGATCATCGGCGAGCAAACGTAAACACGAAGACATGTGGCTTGCCTGCGCGAATACAGTTATGCATACCACTCGCGCTAGAGCGAGCCAGATGCGAGGGTCCAAAGTTCGAAAGGCCAAACACACATCGGGTGCAAATAATTTACTTATTGCGTTCATTCAGTCGATCTGAAATCATATGAATCACCAAATTTCAGCGTCACACGCTTCTGCACCAAAAAGCTCCATGCAATTAACGGATGGAAAGTAGTGAAGGCGGTCTCGGGAAAAGTCAAGGTACCGCAGTTCTCCGGGCAACAAGGTCGTGATGCTGACTCTGCGATTTCGAGTACCCTCCGATCTGGAAAACACGCTGGTGACTGGCGGCTGGGAGTCGCGGAATACTCTCGCGTAGATGACCTCACTGACGATCAGTTCTTCTAAGAGCGAGCGCATGTCCTGCAAGCTAACGACCTTGCGCATTCTTTTGTGGACAGCGCCGTCTTGGATGCCAGGACAGCACATGATAATGTTTACAACCTTCCGTTTCAATTTGAGCGCTATCTTTGTATTGACGCTGCCATCCAGAAGAAGCCACGGACGTGCGACAACAGTGACATCCTTATCGAAAAGGAAGCGCACCTTCGCCGCTACCGAGTCACTTGTAACCCGGTAACTATGCAGTGTCCAGAGATCTGAAAACTTTCGGAGCACAAAGCGAATTCGGTCGTACCCATTCACCTCGAGCACTTTACCTTCTTGGATCATTTTGTCCATCTCGCGCTGAATCAACACGGTCGCTTCAGTTTTGCAATTCGACTTTTCTGCAGGTCCAATTTCTGCATACCGTTCGCGCAACTCATCGAGTGTCATGCCTGAACCTGCAGCTTCGGTTAACGTGCTCAGCAACCAAGACTGAGACAAATGCTGCGTTGCGTCTTTCTGTCGTTCGGCATAGGAACACCAGTCTGCTTCTAGGTGGGTATATGTGCCCTCAGTAAAGGACTGCATTGCCTTGATTGTCTGCGCTCTCGTTTCCATGTCCGAGATTCCAAAAATGGACTTCACAGCCCAATACTCTTTCAAAAAATCTTCCGGGAATACTCCATCCCACTGTTGTGATAAATGACCTGCTAAGCCTTTCACAGCTACCACTCGCACACTTTCGCGCTCTTCCACGCGCTTGTTTGGCGCAACGAACGCTGGAACAAGATGTAAAAACCCAGAAACCATCGAAGATAACGCCAGAGCAACTTGTCCTCGTGACATATTCACGCCAACCTCCTGTTCATAATGATTATCGTTTTCTTCGGCAATCATCGTGGCTTCGTCAACATTCTCGTTGACGAAGGATAAATATTTAGCGGCTTCGCAAAACGTCTCTATTGAGTAACACGAGATCTTCAAACTCTTCATCTCGAATACCTTGGAGTGGACTTGAAAACCACGCTGTTTTTGGTCCTTGCTTTCATTTGCCTGGGGAGTTCGCGTGATCAATCCAGCCAACCATAAATACCGCCATACCAATTTCACCTCACTCTCTCTCCAGTTGCTCATGAGCCTATCCGCCATAACTGAGTAGTAGCTGGATCGGTCATGTAAAATGACTTGCATGGCCCGGCAAAGCAGCGCGGTCAATCGCGGTTGGCGCATGATTGCGACCTCCTCATGAAATTCTCCACCAGGATTCTTCATTCGCGTTATTGCACCTTTGGCTCTTTCTAGCCTTGCATAAATATCCGGTGCTTCAAGCAGATCGTTTACGCGCAACATACATTCGACCGGCTTCTTCTTAAACACTCTCCCGAGTTCCTTCCAAGGTATCAAAGTGCGAGACAGCTTTGCACTCCGAAACGCAACTTGCTCTCCTTTCGTTTGTAGCGCTAACGGTACCTCAATGAACCATTGACACGATGCTTGTTCAACGTAAAGATCAACCAAATGCAGATCTTCGTCTAGCGTCCACGTATGAGTGCGGCGAGTTTTCTTTGCGCCTAGATGCTTGCAAAACTTGCTAACGCCAGCCTCACTTGTAAGAACCGACGCTGTCAACGCTGGATTCGAGCCGTCGCTAGTCTTAGCAATCTTACGTCGCTTTTGCGGAAGCGCTTTCGCACCGGGTGCATCTGCTTGGTCGCGTTTGCGCTTCAACGCCTGTATCGATCCTGCAGCTGCTTTAGCACGAGCAGTGCTGGTCGTTGTGTTTGTTGTCGAGTGAGGTACCCATGCTTTCAGCACGTAGATGTTGTGGTCTGTCAAAGGCGCCGATTGAATCAGAGCACCATCGAGTTTGACGCTCAGACTGTTCGCTTCGCGCGACTTCGTGCCTAACCGAGCTCCCTCGACACTCAAAAAGCGTAGCGACTTCCAGTATGCTTTTGCATCATCCATTCCACGTAGATCAAATTCAAGAGGAACACGCCCCACGAAGTGATCACTTTTGCTTTTGCAGGAAAATCCTGGCGCATAGGCATACGAAAACTCGGACGGAAGCCGGTGCAACACGTTTGTTCCCTGCTTTACACTGATGTGGACGCGACGCTTGATCTTGAACAGCCCTCCTGATAGCGTTGCAAACGCTACCCGTGAAACGGTCGTATCAAAGTCATCAGATGTCTGGAATACATTGAAAAGGCTTGTTGAAGACGAATCTCGCACTACCTGCACAAGCCTCAAGTCAAGCAGCACACGCATGATCTTCGAGAACCGGTCTGCTTCACAGCCCCGCAGCTTTTCTACAATCGGCTGAGACAGCTTGTCCCACGAACCGTTATTTGAGATGACCGACCGAACGGCTGTCTCTTCTTGATCAGTCAGCAACTCCATTACGCCGACAAGCTGGATATACTCTTTCACAGACAAAAGATCCAACACGTCATTTAGCGCAAATGTCACCTCCCGCATGCTGCCAGCGTTCGTAGACTTCCCCGCGCGACGCAGCCCGTCAAGATTTGTTGCAGCTTTGGTAGTTTCAGCGGAAGCTTGAGACGCCAGAGTTTTGATTCGATTCCAGACCATGAGGTGAAAAGCCCGACACTTATACATCATGCCGAAAAGCATCCCAAGCCTGCGACTTTGCTTCTGTAGCTTCACTAGCCCAAGTCGAGCCAGTTTGTAAGACACTGCATTGTACTTGACAACCTCTTGATCGCAAGTTTCCGGAGCCCGAATCTCCTGTATTGCACTACCCCCGCAGTGGCGCTGCTTTCGGCGGTTCGTAATCACGACATAGTCATCATCGTCGTGGTCCACCAGGTTTGCCTGGTACTTCCGGTGATGCTCCATCTCGTACGATTCGATGAATGCTCGAATTGCTTCACGACTGCGTTGGTACCCCATCAACACCGCACATTTTACCTTCCGGTGTGCTTTCTGGAAAACCTGCTTCAACGGCATGACAATATCCATTGTTGTCACTTTCTTTTCTTCGACAAGTTCATCGACGATGCGGTGTACTGAGCGAATATCCATGGTACTTGCTTCCGCCCCTCGTTCCATGTCGATTAGACCCGTGCGTAACTGATGCAGTGATACCACTTTCTCCATTTGTATCCGCTTCAGAATGTAGTTCCGTCGTCTATCAATCGTTGATGCCCGTACTATCCCTCGCGTTGCCTCCTTCATTGTAACGGGTTGAAGTTGGCCATTACTGTCGTCGTTGCCGTCCACATCTTTTGGTGTGCTATACTTTTCAGTGGCGCGAGTTACCCGCACGCCGACAGCCGGCGTCGAGCTACTACCAACCGTCGCATGCTCGCTATTTGCATTTCCTTTTGCCGCGCCAGGAACAAACATCCGATACATTGTACTCTTGCCGAGAACAACTTGTTCCACAGAGATATTGTAATTTGTAATCAATCCCTGCGCCAGCTTGTATGGCAACTTGAACGTCGGGACACCCAGCATATCTCGCAGCTCAGGTACCGTAGCGCCAACATCCCCTCGGTCCTGAATGGTCACATACATTTGCTCCATGATGCCACGTTCAACGACGGGCCGTCCGACTGCAATTGTATCAGATCCAAGCTCTTTGTACGTCTCTGACGGTGAACTTCGCCGCCGACCGGACAAAGCAGACGAACCAGACGAGCTGTCACGTAGACGGATGCACCACAATTTACGCCCAATGTACTCACTACCCGTTTTACATCGCGCCATAAAGAACTGAAGGGGATAGCTCGGTCTTGCGTCCATCTGCTGGATGAAATAGTTCCGCAATTGCTCTTGCTGGCGTTTTCCGTAACCGAGCTCACGCCCGACATCTGCAAACACACAAGTCCGTTCTCTTCGTGCTTTCATCATGCTTACGATGACATTCGCCAAGGCTTCTTTCGGGAATGCTTGCCAGCCCATGGTAGCGGATGGAGAGACCATCGATGGGTGAAAATTGCTGGCAAACCGCCGCAAGTGGACGATGTTAAATCGTCGTCGATTGGCTGTTACAATGTTTTTTGCCACGTAATTCGACACAATCAGCATATCCAGCAAATAGTGCAACTTCCGCGAATCTCCAAACAATTTCGAATTGGACAGCGTTGCAGCATTTTCTCCCCGCACCCTTGCACGACCAATAATCTCCAATAGATCAAACTGTGGTGATATCGTATCCATCGAGCTAGCGCCATGCACGCCCAAATATTTCAGCCGTAATTCTTCGCAAGCTACGGCACCAAGCACGCCATACTGGTTGCTTGCCACAACCTCTTCATAGCTCAGCTTGCCTACGTCGACCTCTTCTCCGAGGCGAAACCCTCGTGGACTTCGTAAGACCCACTGCGTTTCATCTGCAGCGTCTTCTATTTCGTCTTTCATTTCCACATCACACACCCTTGCCACTACCAGCTGCTCCTTTTCACGTCGCTGTTTGTCCAAATCACCTTTCACTACCAAGCCGTTTGTGTCAACGCCCTGCGCTTCAACCTCAGCTCCTCTTCCTCCTCCTTCTCGTCGGTCATCAAAACTTCCCAGTCGCTGCCGCCGCCGTCTCCTAGGTCGACCGCTATGCTCACCTCTATCTCGAGCTTCATGATCCGCTTTCAACAACTTCCGACGATGCTTTTGGGCTGCAAGACGTCGCATGGAGGGTATCACCGGCAGCAGCACGTGGCTCCTGTGTTTATGCCGCTTCAACGCGCGCCTTCCTCCGTCGTCCGCTCGACCGTTCATCTCATTAGAAGTGCAGTTCATGGTGTTGAGCAACGTCGTCTTCCACTTGCGCTTCCGACGTGGTGCCGTGCCATGACTCTCGGCGTCCCCGCCGCTCAGCACCTTCTTGCCGTCTTCCTTGCTCGTACTTGCATCTGCTCGGGTCGTCAATGGACGCATGACGTGGAACGTCAGCTGCTTCTGCATGCTCCGCAGTACTTGCCACGCATAGCGACGGTACGCCACATCGTGATGTGGGTCCATGACGTCAAAGAGGTCGCGCAGCGGCATCCCGCAACGCCCCTCGAGTCCGATCTCCTCGAGGCATTTCGCAATGAACTGCGGTACGGAGCACTGGACCTTTGTGGCCATGTTCCCACCCGTGTTGACGTGATGGAGATCGAGAGATACCGCCACTAGCGCTGAGCTCTTCGGGACGGCGCGTGCGACTGGATGCAGAAGTCGAGGGCACAGTACACGATACTGATTGGATGAAATGAGACCACGTTCGCTTCTGTTGCTTTCGATTGGTGGTAATGCAGATTGGCGGGCTAGGTTCCGATTCGACTCGAGGCGTTTCGGCACGAAAACATGGAGATTTTCTTGTATGGCAATTATCATACGGATCGCGCTATTTCAATGCATTTCGGCGCAAGTGCAAATATTACATCAAGAAAATTGCCATTTTATGTTTGGTAATTCAAGAAGATACGCTGTTTCTGAAATCAGGGATCTTGGTAAATCAATCGCTTTCCACAAGTGGTGATGACCTGTAAATTGACCGAATAAGCGACTGTAGGCGATCTTAGCTTGAGGTCGTAAGCGACATTCAATGACCATCAGTAAGTAGTGCTTATTTCGAAGACATTGGTCGGTCATAACGAACCTGACTACCACTTCACATCATACCTTCTGCAAGTCGTCATTCACAAGGTGAAACGGCATTCTCAATCTCTTACATACTGTTTACCACCACTTTCCTCTACTTCCTTCCTATATAGCTTTCCTTTGTAACTCTTTTTTTATACGCTCACTATGTTCGATACAATAACGGTTAGACCACAATCAAGAGTGGTCAACAGCAGACGGTAACTGTAATGGGCCACCCCGTTACATAAGTAGTTTCGATTAAGTTTACATGTTACTTAAGTAGGGGTGTTACTTTCGAAGTAGCGAAAGTAGCACGTCGTATATTTTAGCTGGTTTAATGGGCTCAGTACCATTATTAGCCAGTAAGATATAGACACGTAGATTGAGTGGTTCCCATGAGTCCAAGGGAACCATTCGTACTTAGGATGATTTTAAAAGACAAAATATAAACAGAGTTAAAAATACTTAACACCTAAGACTTGGGCTTTGAGCTTCCTCAAAGCGTTAGAAATAGTGTACGCTGAGTACGGGTTATTCTAGCCCCGTTACACCTGGTAGCACTTAGTAGTCCTTCCCATGCCCGAGTTTGGGATGAGCGATTCGTCGTACTTTGACGCTCCAGACGTGAGTCTGGAGCACGCGACTTTTCCCCATCTCACTGGTGTTGAGTGGGATGCCCTAAATCGCCTCGCGGCGATATCGGGAGAGGCATTTGTTGTGTCGCTGATGAGATCAGCGACTCCTGATGAACAGCGTCTCGCCATACACGACTACATGGCTCGCGAGCTCGCCGAATTCCATCGGCGAGGTTTAACTCCCTCGCGGACTTCACGGAACGATGCCGTGAAGATGGAGACCTCCGCCTATTCTGGCGAAGGAAAAGAACGCTTGTCGTTGTCTCGTTGGTTTCGAGAGGTCGACATCGCTATCGCCTCGAGACTTCTCGAGGCTCCTCAAGCGAAGGTCAATTTCCTTCTTTCCCGTCTCACTGGGAAAGCCAAGGAGTGGGCCTTGGGAAAACTCGTTGTTGACGAGTTTGCGTTCCCCACTCTGGAAGCCATCCAGAGTGACCTTCGACTCGCCTTCGAGCCGCCCCAGGAAGAGAAGTTGGTGCGTTCAAGGTTCCTGTCCCTGCGACAGGGTAAGATGTCCATGCGCGACTACGTGCAGATGGCTCGACATCTGGCGTCTTGTATTGTCACGCATCCCATGGACATGTATACACAAGTGAACGTGTTTGTCGATGGCATGCGTGAAGGGCAGACTCGCCTCTCGCTGGAACGAGCAGAGCCTGCCACGTTGGAGGAGGCTTTCGCTATCGCTCTCCGTGAGGATTTCAGAGTCACCAAGGCCTATACCAAGCCTTCAGTTGTTACCGCTGTCAGATCAGCGGGCCCGGAACCTATGGAGATCGATGCAATTGAGTCGTCGGGTGACCGACGACGCGCTACAGCCTACAAGGGCGACGTCCGAGGCGGACGTCAGATGATCTGCTTTCGATGCCGAAAGCCGGGACATCGCGCGGCTGAATGCCGCGCGCCAGCACCGATGTCGGTGCATGCGTCGGACACCCATCATGAGGGAGGTGCTCCGATCAGTCGTCCAAAAAACGGACGAGACCAGTAGGTGCAGGGCGCCCTACTGGTTTGAAGAGAGGTCCGGGTCCACCGGTGGCAGCCCGACCTCCCAGCCCATCTGTGCTGCGTGCACGGTCAAATGCCACCACTACGAGTGGTGATTCACGCCTGATTATTGTTAATCTACATGTCGCCGGTATCCGGCGACCCCTACGAGCGCTCCTGGATTCAGGAGCGACAAACAATTTCTTCCGTGAATCTTGCGTGTCAATGCTGCCACCCAGCATCCAGGTCCACGAGGGACCTGGCCAAGTTGTTGTCAAGCTCGCTGACGGGAAACCACGCCGCGTATCGCGGCGCGAAGTGTCGTTGCCGTACACGTTTGACGGCTTTCGCAGTAACGACAACTTCTTGGTGATTGAAATGAATTATGCATTCGATTGCATCCTGGGCATGCCATGGTTGGCACGCTATAAGCCCCAGATCGACTGGTTAGCCAGATCAGTGAGACGTCGAAGCAAGTTCGACGTCAGCGAAGTGTTCACCCATCTCTTGGTGTCTCCAAGTGATTGGCCGAACGTTACAGTCGTGGATCGTACATCCACGACACCGGCGGTACACAGAGTGAGCGATGGCCCTCTCTGTACCGCTTGTTCCGTGCCCCTACGCACGAGTGATGATGCCTCCTCGCTTTGCAGCGAGGAGTCCGACGTGGACGAGCAGTGGCTCCCACGTAATGACGACGCGGACGAGCAGTGGCTCCCGCGCAACGACGACGCGGTCGAACAGCGGTTCCCGCACGAGAGAGCAGTGGTCGAACACGAACAGGTGTTCCCACCTGTACCCATTGTGGTCGAGCAGAGGCTCCCACAAGGGCAAGACGTGGCCGAGCAGGGGCTCGCCACCGAGTGTGACGTGGATGGACAAGAGTCCCCACGTGCGAATATGATGGTCGAACAGGGGTTCCCATCATCGCCTACTGTGGTCGAACAGAGTTTCCCACATGAGCAAGACGTGGTCGAGCAGGGGCTCCCACACGAGTTTGTGGCGGTAGAGCAGGGGCTCCCGCATCATGCGTCGACGGACGAGTATGGAATACTCCCGTCGCGCGATTTCGACGTCCTGGATGAGGACATCCAGCGTCTAGAGGGGGGTGCAGATTTAACACCTGACTGCGGTTCGCCAGCTTCGAGCATGGACTCGAGGCACGATGGGGACGCAAGCTACGAGAACTCAGCGTTGGAATGTGTTCACGCTATTGTGTACGTGGACGGGAGTCCACAAAGGCGCCAATACATTGAGGTCGCGAGTCCACCTCGCGACGCGTCATCTATTACGAGCCTTCCAGGACTCTCCTGGAAGCATTTTCTACGCGACCTCAAGGGAGGCACGGTGGAACAAGTATGTCTGGTCACCAACGAGGTGACTCATGAGCCGAATGAGGAGCTAATGACGCGCCCTCGAAGCGCTGAAAAGAAATCAGCGCGCGAAGAAAGATTTGCGTCGCAATCTTGGGAGGCTCTGCGCGAGTCTGGTAACCCTGTTTACGACATTGCACGAGAGTACGCCGACGTGTTCCCGGACAAGATTCCGGCCGAACTCCCTGCCGATCGTGGCGTGCGGCACGAGATTGATCTCGTGCCAGGATCGAAATATTGTGTGACACGGCAGTGGCCGTTGCCTCGAGACCAAGTCGAGGCTATTGATGCATTCTTCGAAGGTCGTCGCAAGGCCGGTCATGTGCGTGAGAGTGTCTCTCCCCATTCGAGTCCAACCTTCTGCGTGAAGAAGGCTACGGGAGGCTGGCGTATAGTGCATGCGTTTAACAAGCTCAACGATGCCACTATTCCTGCCCAAACGCCTATCCCCAGGAAAGACATGGTTCTAAACTCCATGTCAGGTAGCGTCATCTTCAGCGCCATCGATCTGACCGATGGCTTCTACCAGATCTTGATGCGACAGAGTGACATACCACTCACTGCGGTGAGCACCCCGAGTGGTATGCTTTGGGAGTGGCTGGTGATGCCACAAGGATTGAAGAACGCACCAGCCACTTTCAATCGCATGGTATCTCAAGTGTTGAGACCGCTTCGAGACTTTGCTCCTAGCTACTTCGATGACATCTTTGTCCACAGTCGCGCTGAGGGCAATCTCAGTGCTGTCCAAGTTCACCTTCAACACCTGAAGCAGGTGTTTCAAGTCATGCGAGATAACAAGTTATATGCAAACTTGAAGAAGTGTGTATTCTGTGCACCGGAGATTCCGGTGCTGGGCTGCTACGTGAGTAAATCGGGTGTTCGAGCCGATCCAGAGAAGGTGTCGTCAATCTGTTCTTGGCCCACACCCAAGAACCCTACGGAGTTACGTCAATGGCTCGGTCTAGCTAATTACTTGCATAAGTACACAAAGGATTACGCCGGTTCTATACAGCCCCTGTCGTCACTTCTGAAGAAAGACGCCACGTGGTCGTGGCGTCCCGAACATCAAGCAGCCTTTGACGCAGTGAAGAAAAGCCTGGCGTCGGCGCCAGTGTTGATACTCCCTGACGACACCAAACCGTTTCACGTGGTGTGTGATGCAAGTGACTTTGCAATTGGTTGCGCCCTCATGCAGTTCGATCACGAGGGCCGTGAACGAGTCGTGAGCTATCAGTCACGACAGATGAAGCCGGCAGAGAAGAACTATCCGGTTCACGATAAGGAACTGCTAGCGATGCGCTACGCACTCATCAAGTTTCGTGTCCACCTACTGGGCGAACGCACGTTCGCCCTGTATACTGATCATGCATCGCTGCGGACAGCAATGAAGAGCCCACACCTGTCACAGCGGATGGCACGGTGGCTCTCTTTCTTCTCCGAGTACAACTTCGTCGTGCACTACAAGCCAGGCAAGACCAACATTCTTGCTGACGCACTGTCACGACGC